ATATATTGCTAGTATATAGAAATACCACTGTTTTGCATGTGTTTATCTTGTATTCTGCAACCTTGTTTAATTCACATATTAGATTTAGAAGATTTATTTTGGGAGGGTAGAATCCTTGAGATTTTCTACATAGACAAGCATGTATGATAAGTAAGGACAGTTTTATTTCCTCCTATATATTATTATGTTTTTGAATTCTCTTTTTTACCATATCGCTTTGGCTACCACTTCCAATGTTAAGTTGGATAAGAGTGGTAAGACTAAACATTCTTGCATTGTTCCCAATCATTAGGGAAGAACATACAGTTTTATACTATTAAATATAATAATTATTATAAGATTTTATTTATACTTGCTCTTTATTAGTTTGCAGAAATTTCTATTTTTCTGCATTTTTAAATGAATGAATATTACATTTTGTCAAATGTTTGTTTTGGCAACTATTGATATGACAATGTATATGATAATGTAATATTTATCCCTTCAATTGTTAATGTAGTGAATTATATTGGTTAATTTTCACATACTGTACCAATATGGAAACCCTGAAATAAATATCAGTTGGTTATAGTATATAATTCTTTTTATATATTGCTGAATTTTATTTGCTTATATTTTTGCTACCTATTGTTACATTTAGATGCATGAAGCATATTGGCTTATAATCCCTTCTTTTGGTACTTTCTTTGTCCAATTTTGGTGTCAAACTATTGCTAGCTTTGTAAAATGAGTGGAGAAGTATCCTTTCTTCTGTTTTCTGGCATAAGTTATGTAACATTTGTTCTAATTCTTCTTTAAAGATGTGATAGAATTATCCAGTGAAATCACTTGAGTCTGGAGATGAACTTTTTAGTGTGGTTTGTATTAATGTATTCAATTTCTTTAATTGTATATGGTTGTTAAAATTATTTCATCTTGTGAGTTGTGGTAGTTTTTTTTTTTTTTTGAGAAATTGATATATTTAATCAAAGGTGTCAACTTATGGGGTAAAGTTCATGTATTATGTACTCTACATCTTTGGTAGCTAAAGAATCTGTAGTTGTTCATCTCTTTCTTTAGTTGTTAGTCTTGCTAAAAATTTGTCAATCTTTATTATATTTCCAAAGAACAAGTTATTTGTTTCATTGAATTTCTCTATTATTTTTCTGTTTTAAGTTGCATTGCTTTTTTTTACACATATCTCTGTTGTTTCTAAGTTTCTGCTAGCTTGGGACTTACTTTATGCTCCTTTTTTTAAGAGATGCCCTGGAAACTCGGATGACAAATTTGAGACTTTTTATTGTGTGCATTTAGTGCTATGACTTTTTCTCTCAGTGTTGCCTTCTTTGTTTCCCACAATTTTGATTATGTTTTACTTTCATTTTTGTTCTGTTCTATCTATTTTTAAAATTTTCCATTGAGACTTCTTACTTGACTCACTGGCTATTTAGAAGTATATTGGTTAGTGTCCAAGCTTTTGGAGATTTTTCCCTATATTTTTCTGTTACTGATTTTTAGTTTGATTTCCTCATGGATGGAAAATACACTATAGTGCCTTCAATTCATTTAAATTTGTAGGCATTTACTCTACAGTCTATAATGTGGCCAATTTTGATATCTATACTGTGGGTGCTCAAAAAGAATGTATATTCTACAATTATTGGGAGGATTGTTCTTCAAATGTCAATTAGTGTCTATTGCTTGATACTGTTGTTGAAATCTTCTTTAGCTTTGTTATTTTTTTGTCTGGTGGTTTTATCCAATTTTGATAGGTGTCAGATTAAAATCTATAGTTGTAATTGTAGATTTGTCTATTTCTCACTTAGTTTTTTAAGTTCTTACTTTACATATTTTACATATCTGTATTTGATCCAGGTTCATTTAGGGTGCTCTCTTTTTGGTGGATTGACCTTTTTATCTATAAGTAATGTCTCTCGCATTGTCTGATAATTTCCTTTCCTATGAAACCTGTATCTTATCTGATATTAATGTAACCTGTTCCTTTTGATTGATTTTCACACATTATCTTTGTCTTTTCTTTTACATTCAGTATACCTGTTTTATTTGAAGTAAGTTACTTGTAGAAAGCATAAAATATGTTCATGTGTTCTAATCCACTGTCCATATGTCTTTTAATTGGTGTATAAAGATAATTTTCATTTAATATAATCATTTTTAATATTAAATGTTTTATGTCTGGCATTCTAAGATAGCTCCAGTTTTCCTAATTATTGTTGTCTCTTAAAACTCCAAAAAGAAAAATGCGAATTCATTATTTCATGATTTTGACAATTTAATTTTTTTTTAATCATTAGCACAGAGGCTAGTAGGTTGTAATGAATGCTCTAGCTTCTTATACTTTGTGTGTGAGCAAACCCTGAAATAGTATTTTCTCTTTTGCCCCCTGTCTTTCCAAATGTAGGTATAAATTTTGGTCTCAAACCTACAGTGATGACTTTTGTGCAGTTAATCAACAACAGCCCATATGGTCTGCTCTGGGCTCTTTAATCTATGCTCTGATGTGTTCCAGAATCATATGCTGCCAGATTTGCAAAGTGAAAATGAGAAAAGGAAGTGGATAGAACAATTTTGCATTCTAAGCTCTCTATTTTGTTCACCTATGTGTACTAAAAGCATAGAATAGTCTGACTCAAAGCAGGTATTTTATTAATATTTTTTTGAATCAGTGAATGAACAAATAAACTAGAGAGCTGATTTATCAGCTCTCAGCTCAAAAGCAGTGCTCAGTTGTTAGGATACCCTTTCTTGCATCTTCTCCTGTCCACACTCAATCCCTATTTCTCAAGGCATAGTTCAAAGTTCTTCATAACATTTTCTGAATCCTCTCCCAAGTGGGAAGCAGCCTTTCCCTTTCTTGAGGTCTTACAGTCCTACGTAATACCACTGCACACTTTCTACTTCTAATGGAATTTATTCCCATGAAGTATTATGATCCTGCAGTGCTCTTTATTTCCTGAAAGGGGCACCTGTGTTTCTTTGATCTTGTCTTAACGGCCCTTGATAGAGTGTTTTGTACCCATCAGAGGCTCCTGTTAGATGTCTTATTGCAGAAAATCATGACTGCATGAGATGATTGCTATTGTCTGGGAGTTGTTCCATGGTGATGGATTGATAAAGTCAGAAGATGACCTTCTAGGTTTTGCTATAGAGATAAATTGGGTAAAAGGGTTCAATTGTATGATGAAGGATAGAATTGGACTTTTAATGGTGAACATCATGCAGTTTATACAGATGTTGGTTTATAATGAGTCATACCTGAAATTTATATAATGTTATAGTGCAGTGTTACTGCAATATTTTTTAAAAAAGAAACAAATGGACAGTATAACACTGAAAGCCACAGCTTCCATATAGTGACACAGTGACTTTGTCTTCAGAAATATGAGAAATTTTGGAAAGTGACAGTTTCTTTTTTTTTAATTTTTATTTATTTATGCATACAAGAGCTGGGTACAGGCCAGAGATGCAGGAGGGTGAGAGGATTAACCAGAGACAGAGTGGGAAACAGAACAGGCAGACTGACTGAAATACACTGCTGAGGGGAGCAGCGGGCGAGACAGGAGAGGTTTACTTCGCCATGTGGGCTGCTTCATGGCCAGCAGGGCGTCAGACTCGTGCTGCAGAGGCCGGATTGCTTCACAGCACTGTGCTTAACCCCTCGTACCACCAGGGAGGCCCAGGAAAATGACAGTTTCTTCTGAATAGATAGTTTAGTTTTGTCAGCGGGATTGACTTTCTATGTAATTCAGTACAACTTTGTGGATATTTTCATAAAGTAAATGTGTAAGAACTGAAATTAACCAAAAGAATAGGTTGGAAGTATAGATGAAAACCAAACTCTTAATTTAATATTATTTTCCATCTCAAAAACTACTACCCAGGTTATAACTACTTAGACTTTCTAACATAATTAGTATTGCTTGCTTGCTTTTTCTTTTTTATTAAAATGCCAATTTACTGAATGTCATATTTTGAAGGACAGGAGAAAATGATAACTGTTTTCAGAAGAAATTACTCTATTGAGAAACATTTGGTATAAGAACTATCAAAAGTACTAAAGACCAACAGAATTATATTTATTGTACTTTAAGAGCCTAGAGCCAGAATTCTTCTATTTTCTGAGTTCTTAAGTTTAAAAAAAGGGGAGGAGAAGCTAAATGACTCTAGAAGGATGTGTGGGAATTAGCCAGGTAAGAAAATAACCTTTCAAGAACTGGAAATGGAGAGAGTCAATCCACAGGGATGATAGAGAGTATGATGTGTAGAGAGACCTCAGGCTGATGTGAAAGATAGGAAATGAGGCTAGAGAGATGAATTCAGAGCTTAGGATATTGTGGTGAAAGAGCTTAGATTTTATTTTTTTATGCAGGGTAAACCACTAACGGTATTTTCCATTAAGTCATTCATAACTATTCTATTTATTATGCTAGAAACTGTTCTATGCAGTGGGGAGCGAGCAGTGTCCAGGACACAGTGCCTTCTCTCAAGGGATTTACACTGTGGTGAGGGGGATGAATGAAGAAATGAATAGACAATTAAAATATAATTAATGACTTATCATCGGCAGTAGAGAATCTTGGCGCCTTTAAAGTACTTAATGGGTATTTTAGTTCGGTGCAGTTTGGAGGATGTTACAAGCTGAAAAAATAGAATGGAAACATTTTGTTTAGGTAAATTTCCTGCTACTATTTGGCAGATAGTTACTTAATATCCTAAATCCTTTATTGCTTATTGTTGGAAAGGAGATTGGAAGATGTTCAAAAAATTTAGCACCTGAGTAGGAATTATTTATTGAGGCAACCTAGGTCATCTTTATAAGTTTCTTTTGGCTTTGCATTTGTTTGCCTATTGTTATAAGAGAGAAATAAGACAACAAGTTATCTAAAGTAATTTGTTATCTAGCAAGTTATCTAAAGTAATTTGTGTAGGTTAATTTCTCCAAAATGTGTTTAATTATAATGTGAAGTACTTAGTCATTTTTTCCTTTTATTTCCCTGTAGCATGCTGTATAGGCCCCCATGAACTTTACTGCAGTACTGCAATCTTCGGATTGCACATCCCAGAGTTGGAGGTTTGTGATCTCTCCAGGAGTCTAAGCTGAATCCTACAGGAAGCTTCCTGGAATGTCAGAGATACTGTTCTCAGATCATCCCTGGACCAGGTGAAGGGCTTGCAAAAATTCAGATTCCTGGAGCACTGCTCTAGAAATACTGAATCATTTTATTGGAAGGGCTTGGGAATTTGCATTTTTAAATACAGTTCTCAAAGGATTCTTATGTACATTAAAATTTGAGAAACATTTGTTATACTGATTTTCAAGAGCTTGTACTTTTTGAGTGAAGAAGGTATCTTATAATAGAGTCAGGCTTACCTAAAATTATATTTAACCTTTAAAAATCTCCCACTATCTATTTTTTGTTCTTTTCATATTTTTGGAACCACTAGCCTCATTGTCAGAAACACATGCAGGAAGAGGATATAAATGTCAATACACAGAAATATATCTAGAAAAACATCTGTGACACTCTTACCTCAGTATATTGTATTAGTCCAGGTTGAGGAGAGAAAAATCTACATTAACCCCATCAGGTCTCTGAAAGTCATCTCTATGGCAACTCCTAAACTTAAATACAAAGAAGGGCCTGGGTAAGGGCAATCTGATATTGAGAGACTACCATGCAACACACCTTATTATTTATGAGTGTGTTTTAAACAAAAAAACCTTTAGTAGGCAATTCTAGTCCCACTTTATATGCAGGAAATTGAGATACTGAGAGGTCAAGTAATTTTCTCTGAGAAAGCCTCTTTGTTTTTTCTTTACTTGTTAAATTGTAGTTTACTTTTCCCCATAGCCAGTTTTAGAAAGTACTTGCAAGGCAAAGATAGGTGTGAACAAAGGTTTTTGCCCCTGTAGTATTTGATGTGTACTAGCTAATTTGATGTTAGTCTTTTCCGATATAATTCTGTGGTACCTAATTTTGTTGTAATTTCTCCTCTTTGTCACAGAAGACAATGTTTGGGGGTTGGAGGTCAATTGACACTCAAGATTTTTATGTGTACTTTTTGATAACATTCAAATTGTTCACATCTAGCATCCATCCACATTTGTAAGACACGGAATACTTCTGTGAGATAGACACCTGATTAGAGAAAGTCACATCTGATTATAGATTTGAATCCTAAGATATGGAAACAGTGAGTAGCAACCAGTGATTATGTTTTTTCCCCCATCTGAGAGAGCAAACTCAGGGTTAGCAGCTACACACATTTTGTTCTGCTTAGGTAAGAACTTTGTTCACAGAAACTTGTGGGAAACCAGCTAAAAGCAAATGCATTTGCTTCATGAATGTATTCCCACTAGTTTTAGATCTTTATGTAATAACAGTTTTTGATAGATTACAAAGAGAAATTTAATATAATAATCTTATGAAAAGAACCCTGGAGTTTTCTCTGTTCTCTGATACTCACTAGAATATGAGAAGATTATGCCTTTTCTCTAAGGCTGTTTCCTGAACTAAACTATGAGCAATGGACAGGAAAATTTCTAAGATCCCTTTTGTTGAACTTTCTTTAGTGATCATTTATGTATGTTTGTAACAAATGTGAAAATCTCTGTGCATTCTTTTAATCCAAATTTAACTTTATAAAGCTGCATTAATGGGTGACTTGGACTCAGATACAAACTGAATAGTGGAGACCGAGTTACAACTTGATACATTTCAATATTTTGCCTTGATTTCAAATATGTTTTATCTTTAAAGGTATCTTTGGTATTTCAACACAGTAATGTGTATAACTGACCTCTTTTGGGGTTGCCCACTGTGTAGATCGACAGCATATCCAAGTGTGCTATGAACATGTTTAGCTCTATTACAACAAGATTAAAACCCATTAATTAGTGTAGGGAGCACTTTTCACTCTCAAAAGCAACCTGGTAAGGTATGTCTAGTTATCCTAACCCATAGATAAGAAGGTGGTAGCTGGGCTTGAGTGGTTAACACCTTGCTTGAACTAGCAAGTGGTGGAGCTGATATGAAAAGTCAGTTCTGTCTGATGCCAAAAACCATGTTCTTAACCACTACCCTGCAAGGACTCATTTTCCTACAAAATAATAGAAAAAAAATATTTAAAATTTAACACTGAAAAGGATACTATACCCTTTATTTACTTTTTAAGTATGAGTAACCTTTGCTTCTAGGACATTTTTCCTTATGTTAAACTCAAATCCATCCTTTTGCAAATTCAAGTGTTTCCGTTGGCTGTGTCCCAGCAGAGCTGGAGACCAGCTGGTCAGGAAGATTTTGTATTTTTTCAAGGTGTATTTATCCCTTAAGCCTCAGTAAATGGAAAACTTTGACCACAGAGAACAAAGGATAGATGTTGCATAGGATGATATGACTCTTTGGTTCATACACCTGCTGTAGGACTATATGGGGGTTTGACAATGTTGAGACTTATAGTGGTGGCTTTAAGTAATATTCTGGAAGCAGATAACACAGTAAGCCATTCTTTGAGAAGGCATTGCCCTGAGAGAAAAAGGGCATATCTTAAGATATTAAGAGTAGGGTTCTGAAGACCTGAGACCCATGGCTTGGAGAAGCATGGCTATCCCTTTCCTGTTATGCAGATCTGAACCAAGTGGGAGCTTCAGATGGTGATTTAGAAGTAAATGTGGTAATGGTGATTAAGATGATGGTGGTGTTGTTAGAACAAATCATTTTCTCTATTTCACAGAAAAGAAAATGGTCTCATACTATGTGACTGCCTTGCCCAATGTACACAGACATAAGCAAGGTAGATTTTAAATTCAGGAATTCTAACTAAATCATTTTCCCCTTCATTCACTCTCTCCTCATCAGTCCACTCCTGCACTTGTCTGTTATTTTTTATCAATAGTTATTATCACTTATCTATTCAGTACCAACTTCCTGCTAAGCCAGTGGTTCCAGATTTTGTTGCCTCTTTGACACACTTTGAGATATTTAGAGACACTGATTCCTATCCGGCTGCTAACCTAGGTATTCTGACTTAATAGGTTAGTTGTGACATTGAGGAGTTAAGATTGTTAAAAGTTTCCCAGTTAATCTACTGTATAACCAAATTAGGAATCAACTGTCTAGGTGCATGGCTATCAGGTAGTAATAAGATGAGCTCAGCAAACTGTTCCCCTTAAACAATTGCAATGAAATGAGGGATTCTTATTCCAAGTTAACAGAGAAATCATTAAAGGGTAGGGGCCACATACTCATAATATTCAGATCATATAAAAAATTGTGAAATTTTTCAACCTTTTCACATATCTAATTTTTTTAGATGGGTTTGGTGAAGAGCACAGCAAAATGAAAAATAGATTGCTGGAGTGCCTTGTATTTATGTGAAGTGCAAAATGTGAAATAAATGTCACTTCTATGTTCAAAACATTAAGTAAAATAGAAGTGAATAGAGCAAATTGTTATGGAATTAGCACCTCTCAACAGCTGCTCCCAGGAGGTAATTTGGGCTTCTTTTTATATCATGCTTCAGACTTTGATGTGATAAGAGGATTTTGAAATGCACTTTGAGAATTCTTTTCCTCATATTCACATGGTTAAATGATCAGAGATCACATTTTATGTCTATGTGGAGAATATCCATTAATTTGATGTAAAGGAGGAACTATTGAATCCCGTGGGAAATGAGAAATTGATGGCTTTCCTTTTAAGAACATGAAGAGTGGGTGGGAAAATAGGCTGTGCCAACAGGCAGCTTTTGTGTCATGTTCCTAGGGGTTCCCCTTAGGAGGGCCCCAAAAGTCAAGGCATATTAGCAGCATGTCTCTGGCTGCTATCTGGTTCAACCCTGGGGAATCTTCTAGACCCATGGATATTTCTGGAATAGCAATATTATGGCCTCACCTAAGACTTGTATTATAAAATAAGCAGAATAAAAAGTCTCCTTTTTGGCCTTAGCTAAAGCTTATACAAATTTGCTATAAAAATGGATGCATTACAAATTGGGACAGTTGCCTGTGGCAGGGACTAGAGACCATAGCGGAGAGGATATGTAACCTACATATCCAAAAGCATTTGTTATTACACATGCCAACACATTAGATGTTAATCTCCCTAGTGCAACTTTGGGATTGAAAGGGTTATAGAAAGATCTTAGGGGTTTCCAGTTTCTAGCTAAATTGCCGCTGAATGATTGGGGTTCTCATCACAAATCTCTCCTAGTTCTTACAGCCTTTGGAAGCAATGTAATAGCAGAATCCAGAGTTTCTTGTTAATAGACCACCAGATGCCAGATGCAGTTAGGTCTGGACAGGTGCTGTGCCTCTGGGAAGACACACAGCGGGCAGGAAAGTGTGCATGACTTTGAGCTTCAAGCCCTCCTCTCCCTCTACCACTGTCTCCTTCCTTTCTCATTCATCATTTCCCACCTGTTTTCTAAAGAGCCTGAATTTCTTGTAGTGATGAATGTAGGAGGAATAACTACTCTGTACCTGTCAGTTTCACACATGCCATCTCATTTAGCTCCAATAACCTGTCAGATTCTATTGCAATCACCTCCTCAGTTAAAGTCTTGGCCAAGTGTTTCTCTTCTGCATTTTCATAACATAGCCATGTCTAAATCTATTTTGATAACATGTTTTAATTGCATATTTATTGCACTAGACTGTATGCTTCTTGAGGGTATGAGATAATGTTACTCTTTGAAAAACCACTCCTCAGTATAGAAATCTCACCTAATATGTACTTGGATAATTATTTATTTTAATTAGTGACTGATATTTGCAAAGAAGGTATTAATCAAATGAATGAAGAAAACAAAGTGTCCAGGAAGTTCAAAATCTGATAGTACAGTTACACAGTTATGAGTTGGTCAACCTGACACTCAGACCCCAAAGTTCCAAATTCAGATCTCAGCGCTTCTCCTAGTACCATACTGTCTCTTTTGATAAAAATAAAATCCAAAATTAGCTGTGACTGTACTCTGAAATTCTAACACATGCAAGTGACAAGTTTTGTCTTCCAACTATAGGTTTCAAGT